CACCCAGCCCCTCCCTCCCCACCCAGCCCCTCCCCACCCTCCCCTCTCCACCCAGCCCCACCCCTCACATGTTTGTATGCACGACGGACGGACGGACACAACAATAATCCCCTGTGGGCTGGTGGTGGTGTAGTAACCAGGAGGTTCCTACACAGTATTAACCTCAATTACTTGTAGTGAACATGAAAATAAAGACATGCTCTGATACTACGTGCATGGTTTAACACGTGTGCTTTCGCGACCAATATCATCCATAATATAGGGGGGTTTTTTTAGGTTGGATCGCGTAAATATGTGTCGTTAAACCCACCACCACCCGACACAAACAATCGGTAAGGTTTGTCACGTAAACAGAACGTGCCGATTCGTGACTAGTGCAGCCGCACCGGTTGTGTGTTGGACAGCACATCCACACCGTTCTGTTTACGTGACAAACCCTTACTAATTGCCTGTGGTAGGGTGGTACATTTATATTTCCGCGGTCTAACCACAAATAAAACTCTGTTTCATTTGCATTGTCTATGAAACCGATTGGCCGACACCAGAGACGGCCTCTCTCTCTTTAATCGCCAAGCCTCACCACCAGCGTCAGCCCAGAGAACGCCAACAAACATGCCACCGGTATTCACTGTGTAAGGAAGTGGCTCATTGAGGACGGGTAGTCCCAGACTTAAGATGGAGATGCGTTAGAGGAGAGGGTGGGGGGGGGGGGGGTAACGGGGGGGGGGGGGGGGGGGGGGGGGGGGGGGGGGGGGGGAGGAGGTTGGGGGGGTAGGGGGGGGGAAGGAGGGTGGGGGTGGACGGGGGGGGGTAATGGGGGGAGGAGGGGGGGGGGGTAACGGGGGGGGGAGAAGGAGGGTGGGGGGGGGTGACGGGGGGGGGTAATGGGGGGGGTGGGGGGAGGAGGGTGGGGGGGTAGGGGGGTGGGGGAGGGAGGGGGGGGGGGGGGGGGGGAGAAGGAGGGTGGGGGGGGTGACGGGGGGGGGAGGAGGGTGGGGGGGGGAGAAGGGTGGGGGGGGGTAACGGGGCAGGAGCCCTCCCCCCACGCATGGAGATGTCCCCCATGCGACTCTCTCCAGGATCGCATTCCCCCCCCCCCATCACCCCAACCCACCCCCCCCCCCCCCCACTAAAGTTTCCAACTCCCTTCGACATTTGCCCTTAAAAGTTACAACAAACAAAAACAACAACTCCTAAACGTTTTTCTTTCTCATAACGTCGACCTGGACGAAACGATTAGGAAAACCATCAGACTGTCCGCGGACAGCGTTCAAAGTGTGGCCGGCTGGCGGTGTTCACCTGACGCGAAAGGCAGTGAACGTCGCCACTGGGGGAGACAAAGGCGGCCGGGCGTGGTTGCTGGGCCAACCCATCCGCCTCGTGTGACACAGTGCCGGACCTTCACAGGTGCTCGCTACTCGCTAACGGCACTTGCCCCGACAGTCCGTTACAGGCTACACGGGGGACCTTTGTCCTTTGTAGAGACAGTAACTGGGGAGACAAAGGCGTGCCCGGGTGGGGGGTGGGGTGGGGGTGGTGTGTTGGTCACCCACCACTTTCGTGCGCTCCAACGGCCTTAATAGGTGCTCACAAACAACGCTCTGCCCCATCAGTCAATGGAGGTGATGATGCGCATCATCTGTATCATGCGGGGGCGGGGGGGGGAGAGGTGATCTTCATCCAGCAGTGGATCGATCATGGCTGATGATAATTCACTTTGTTAACACGATTTCAGTTCCTGGGTAGGAAGTGTTATTTCCTAATTGCTCATGCCTTAAAAGTAGCAGAAAACGGCTCTTTTGATGATTATTATTATTATTTCCCCCAAAAAACTTCGCTTTTGTGACTTAGGACAGTGATATTTTGAAATGTGCCTTATTGTCAATGAGAACACGTGGTGTGCGTTTGTGTCAATTCCTTCACGTGGTGTGCGTTTGTGTCAATTCCTTCACGTGGTGTGCGTTTGTGTCAATTCCTTCACGTGGTGTGCGTTTGTGTCAATTCCTTCACGTGGTGTGCGTTTGTGTCATTCCTTCACGTGGTGTGCGTTTGTGTCAATTCCTTCACGTGGTGTGCGTTTGTGTCAATTCCTTCACGTGGTGTGCGTTTGTGTCAATTCCTTCACGTGGTGTGCGTTTGTGTCAATTCCTTCACGTGGTGTGCGTTTGTGTCAATTCCTTCACGTGGTGTGCGTTTGTGCCAATTCCTTCACGTGGTGTGCGTTTGTGTCAATTCCTTCACGAGGTGTGCGTTTGTGTCACACCACGTGAAGGAATTGTTAGCGAGCACCTATGAAGGCCGGCACGGCGCACGAGGGGGTGGGTGGCCCAGCACCACGCCCGGCCGCCTTTGTCTCCCCAGCTTGCGATGGTTTACGTACAGCACATCAAGCATAGTGCGGTGTTAATTTGAAGGCTGAGTCGACCTAGGAGAGGCAACCGGAGCGGTTCAGATAGCAGTCGCTGGAGTTGGCCGAGAGCGGAAATTGAACTTGGGACGCAGGGTTCGTAGCACGGCGCGCTAACCACTGCGCCACCGCTCCCGACACAATCACGTGTTAAACAAATATAGAGAAAGGCAACACAGCCTCTGTTCTTTGCATACGCAACCGAGTGTTGTTGTCTTGGTGTGGTTTGGGACTGTTGTTGTTGCTGTTGTCTTGGTGTGGTCTAGGAGTGTTGTTGTTGTGGTGTGGTCTGGGACTGTTGTTGTTGTTGTTGTCTTGGTGTGGTCTGAGACTGTTGTTGTTGTCTTGGTGTGGTCTGGGACTGTTGTTGTTGTCTTGGGGTGGTCTGGGACTGTTGTTGTTGTTGTCTTGGTGTGGTCTGGGACTGTTGTTGTTGTTGTTGTCTTGGTGTGGTCTAGGACTGTTGTTGTTGTTGTCATGGTGTGGTCTGGGACTGTTGTTGTTGTCTTGGTGTGGTCTGGGAGTGTTGTTGTTGTTGTCATGGTGTGGTCTGGGACTGTTGTTGTTGTCTTGGTGTGATCTGGGACTGTTGTTGTTGTCTTGGTGTGGTCTGGGACTGTTGTTGTTGTTGTCTTGGTGTGATCTAGGACTGTTGTTGTTGTTGTTGTTGTCTTGGTGTGGTCTGGGACTGTTGTTGTTGTCTTGGTGTGGTCTGGGACTGTTGTTGTTGTCGTCTTGGTGTGGTCTAGGATTGTTGTTGTTGTCTTGGTGTGGTCTGGGACTGTTGTTGTTGTGTTGGTATGGTCTGGGACTGTTGTTGTTGTTGTCTTGGTGTGGTCTGGGATTGTTGTTGTTGTTGTTGTCTTGGTGTGGTCTGGGACTGTTGTTGTTGTTGTGTTGGTGTGGTCTGGGACTGTTGTTGTTGTCTTGGTGTGGTCTGGGAATGTTGTTGTTGTTGTTTTGGTGTGGTCTGGGACTGTTGTTGCTGTTGTTGTTGTCTTGGTGTGGTCTGGGACTGTTGTTGTTGTCTTGGTGTGGTCTGGGACTGTTGTTGTTGTCTTGGTGTGGTCTGGGACTGTTGTTGTTGTTGTCATGGTGTGGTCTGGGACTGTTGTTGTTGTCTTGGTGTGGTCTGGAACTGTTGTTGTTGTCTTGGTGTGGTCTGAGACTGTTGTTGTTGTTGTTGTTGTCTTGGTGTGGTCTGAGACTGTTGTTGTTGTTGTTGTTGTCTTAGTGTGGTCTGGGACTGTTGTTGTTGTTGCCATGGTGTGGTCTGGGACTGTTGTTGTTGTTGTCTTGGTGTGGTCTGGGATTGTTGTTGTTGTTGTTGTCTTGGTGTGGTCTGGGATTGTTGTTGTTGTTGTTGTTGTGGTGTGGTCTGGGAGTGTTGTTGTTGTTTTGGTGTGGTCTGGGACTGTTGTTGTTGTTGTTGTCTTGGTGTGGTCTGGGACTGTTGTTGTTGTCTTGGTGTGGTCTGGGACTGTTGTTGTTGTCTTGGTGTGGTCTGGGAGTGTTGTTGTTGTTGTCTTGGTGTGGTCTGGGACTGTTGTTGTTGTCTTGGTGTGGTCTGGGACTGTTGTTGTTGTCTTGGTGTGGTCTGGGAGTGTTGTTGTTGTTGTCTTGGTGTGGTCTGGGACTGTTGTTGTTGTCTTGGTGTGGTCTGGGAATGTTGTTGTTGTTGTATTGGTGTGGTCTGGGACTGTTGTTGTTGTTGTGTTGGTGTGGTCTGGGACTGTTGTTGTTGTCTTGGTGTGGTCTGGGACTGTTGTTGTTGTTGTCTTGGTGTGGTCTGGGATTGTTGTTGTTGTTGTGTTGGTGTGGTCTGGGACTGTTGTTGTTGTTGTCATGGTGTGGTCTGGGACTGTTGTTGTTGTCTTGGTGTGGTCTGGGACTGTTGTTGTTGTCGTTTTGGTGTGGTCTAGGACTGTTGTTGTTGTGTTGGTATGGTCTGGGACTGTTGTTGTTGTCTTGGTGTGGTCTGGGACTGTTGTTGTTGTTGTTGTTTTGGTGTGGTCTGGGATTGTTGTTGTTGTTGTTGTTGTCTTGGTGTCGTCTGGGACTGTTGTTGTTGTTGTTGTCTTGGTGTGGTCTGGGACTGTTGTTGTTGTTGTTTTGGTGTGGTCTGGGATTGTTGTTGTGTTGGTGTGGTCTGGGACTGTTGTTGTTGCTGTCTTGGTGTCGTCTGGGACTGTTGTTGTTGTTGTTGTCTTGGTGTGGTCTGGGACTGTTGTTGTTGCCTTGGTGTGGTCTAGGACTGTTGTTGCTGTTGTCTTGGTGTGGTCTGGGATTGTTGTTGTTGTTGACTTGGTGTGATCTGGGATTGTTGTTGTTGTTGTCTTGGGGTGGTCTGGGATTGTTGTTGTTGTTGTCGTGGTGTGGTCTGGGATTGTTGTTGTTGTTGTCTTCCTCTTGTGCAGTAATAAACACGATGTTCTCATTCTGAACGGAGGTGAACTAACCAGAATGGCGGAGCGCTGCGCCATCTTGGTCAGTTCAACTAAAACCAAGATGGCGCAGCGCTGCTTAGTTCAACTGGAGGCGGGCGGAGAAGAACGCGGGGGGTGGAGGGCGTGACCCATAAAACTTGGCCACACCCACCCACGGCGACACCCCGCCCACTCGACGCCTACGCCACGCCCACGAGCGACCGAGGCCGCGCCCACAGCGCCACGTCTGGTGGTGGTAGTGGTGGAAAGCGGTAGGCGATGTCCACCTCCTCCGTGTCCACCTCGTCCGTGTCCACCTCCTCCGTGACCCCCCCTGCTGCCGCTGTGTCCACCAGCAGCAGCGTGTCCACCGCCATGGCCGCGTCCGTGGCTGGGGATGGAGCAGCGCAGGGCGGTGGGAATCCGAATCCCCTCTCCCGGAAGCTCAACAAGATCCTGGAGACGAGGTTGGACAACGACAAGGTTGGGACATGGGCAGAGACAACACTGGGACATTGGGACACAGACAGAGACAACACGGGGACACAGAGACAACACGGGGACACTGGGACACAGACAGAGACAACACGGGGACACTGGGACACAGACAGAGACAACACTGGGACACAGACAGAGACAACACTGGGACACTGGGACACAGACAGAGACAACACTGGGACACTGGGACACAGACAGAGACAACACTGGGACACAGACAGAGACAACACTGGGACACAGACAGAGACAACACGGGGACACTGGGACACAGACAGAGACAACACTGGGACACAGACAGAGACAACACTGGGACACTGGGACACAGACAGAGACAACACTGGGACACAGACAGAAACAACACTGGGACACTAAGACACAGACAGAGACAACACTGGGACACAGACAGAGACAACACTGGGACACTGGGACACAGACAGAGACAACACTGGGACACTGGGACACAGACAGAGACAACACTGGGACACAGAGACAACACGGGGGGACTGGGACACAGACAGACAACACTGGGACACTGGGACACAGACAGAGACAACACGGGAGGAGGACACTGGGACACAGACAGAGACAACACTGGGACACAGAGACAACACTGGGGGGACACTGGGACACAGACAGAGACAACACTGGGACACTGGGACACAGACAGAGACAACACTAGACACGTATAGAGACAACACGGGGGGGACACTTGGACACAGACAGAGACAACACTGGGACACTGGGACACAGACAGAGACAACACTGGGACACAGACAGAGACAACACTGGGACACAGAGACAACACTGGGGGGACACTGGGACACAGACAGAGACAACACTGGGACACAGAAAGAGACAACACTGGGACACAGACAGAGACAACACTGGGACACAGACAGAGACAGCACTGGGACACAGACAGAGACAACACTGGGACACAGACAGAGACAACACTGGGACACAGAAAGAGACAACACTGGGACACAGACAGAGACAACACTGGGACACAGACAGAGACAGCACTGGGACACAGACAGAGACAACACTGGGGGGACACTGGGACACAGACAGAGACAACACTAGACACGTGTAGAGACAACAGGGGGGGACACTTGGACACATAGGTATGGGAGAGGCATTGATACACAGGGAGACACACTCGGGGAGAGAGGAACACAGATTCGGAGATAGACGGAGAGACAGAGACACGGGGACAGAGACACAGGAAGAGAGAGACACACAGAGACACTGGGAGAGAGACACACAGATACACTGGGAGAGAGACACAGAGACACTGGGAGAGACACAGAGACACAGTGACAGCGAGACACACAGAGACACTGGGAGAGAGACACACAGAGAGACACAGTGACAGAGAAACACACAGAGACACTGGGAGAGAGACACACAGAGAGACACTGGGAGAGAGACACACAGAGAGACACTGGGAGAGAGACACAGAGAGACACTGGGAGAGAGACACAGAGAGACACTGGGAGAGAGACACACAGAGACACTGGGAGAAAGACACACAGAGACACTGGGAGAGAGACACACAGAGACACTGGGAGAGAGACACAGTGACAGAGAGACACACAGACACTGGGAGAGAGACACACAGAGAGACACTGGGAGAGAGACACACAGAGAGACACTGGGAGAGAGACACACAGAGAGACACTGGGAGAGAGACACACAGAGAGACACTGGGAGAAAGACACAGAGACACTGGGAGAGAGACAGTGACAGAGAGACACACAGAGACACTGGGAGACAGAGAGACACTGGGAGAGAGACACAGAGAGACACTGGGAGAGATACACACAGAGACACTGAAAGAGACACACAGAGAGACACTGGGAGAGAGACACAGAGACACTGGGAGAGAGACACACAGAGAGACACTGGGAGAGAGACACTGGGAGAGAGACACAGAGAGACACTGGGAGAGAGACACAGAGAGACACTGGGAGAGAGACACAGAGAGACACACAGAGAGACACTGGGAGAGAGACACAGAGACACTGGGAGAGAGACACAGAGAGACACTGGGAGAGAGACACTGAGACACTGGGAGAGAGACACAGAGACACTGGGAGAGAGACACAGAGAGACACTGAGAGAGAGACACACAGAGAAACACAGTGACAGAGAGACACGGATACGGACATCGAGACAAACGAAGTCCGAGAGGCCTGGTCATTCCCCGTGCTCGGATAGATTTCCTGCCGGGCTTGAGGCTCCTCCCCCCGCGGAGACAGCAAGGCTGGCGGGGGGTGGGGTTCGCGCTCCCGGGGGGATCTAATTTAACGAGATTTCACAATAATTCTCATCATTAATTAACATTTTAACGATTGTAAGCGTTTCGCGTTTTGTTCGAATGTTGTTCAAATCGGTTAGGTGTCTTGATCGATGTCTCCTGGGGCTGCCTTGTGCACGCATGAGTCCTGCATAACAGGTGCTACAGACTCGTCCGTGCTGACCAGGGTGGTGAAGTATGGTTAAACAACCCCCACACTAACCAGAGTGGTGAAGTATGGTTAAACAACCCCGTGTTGACCAGAGTGGTGAAGTATGGTTAAACATCCCCCGTGTTGACCAGAGTGGTGAAGTATGGTTAAACAACCCCCTGGTGACCAGAGTGGTGAAGTATGGTTAAACAACCCCCACACTGACCAGAGTGGTGAAGTATGGTTAAACAACCCCCTGGTGACCAGAGTGGTGAAGTATGGTTAAACAACCCCCCACGCTGACCAGAGTGGTGAAGTATGGTTAAACAACCCCCACACTGACCAGAGTGGTGAAGTATGGTTAAACAACCCCCTGGTGACCAGAGTGGTGAAGTATGGTTAAGCATCCCCCCCGTGCTGACCAGAGTGGTGAAGTATGGTTAAACAACCCCCACACTGACCAGAGTGGTGAAGTATGGTTAAACAACCCCCTGGTGACCAGAGTGGTGAAGTATGGTTAAACAACCCCCCACGCTGACCAGAGTGGTGAAGTATGGTTAAACAACCCCCACACTGACCAGAGTGGTGAAGTATGGTTAAACAACCCCCTGGTGACCAGAGTGGTGAAGTATGGTTAAGCATCCCCCCCGTGCTGACCAGAGTGGTGAAGTATGGTTAAACAACCCCCACACTGACCAGAGTGGTGAAGTATGGTTAAACAACCCCCTGGTGACCAGAGTGGTGAAGTATGGTTAAACATCCCCCCACGTTGACCAGAGTGGTGAAGTATGGTTAAACAACCCCCTGGTTACCAGAGTGGTGAAGTATGGTTAAACATCCCCCCCCGTGTTGACGAGAGTGGTGAAGTATGGTTAAACAACCCCCCACACTGACCAGAGTAGTGAAGTATGGTTAAACAACCCCCTGGTGACCAGAGTGGTGAAGTATGGTTAAACAACCCCCACACTGACCAGGGTAGTGAAGTATGGTTAAACAACCCCCTGGTGACCAGAGTGGTGAAGTATGGTTTAAACAACCCCCGTGTTGACCAGAGTGGTGAAGTATGGTTAAACAACCCCCTGCTGACCAGAGTGGTGAAGTATGGATAAACAACCCCCTGGTGACCAGAGTGGTGAAGTATGGTTAAACAACCCCCTGGTGACCAGAGTGGTGAAGTATGGTTAAACAACCCCCGTGTTGACCAGAGTGGTGAAGTATGGTTAAACAACCCCCTGGTGACCAGAGTGGTGAAGTATGGTTAAACAACCCCCTGCTGACCAGAGTGGTGAAGTATGGTTAAACATCCCCCGTGTTGACCAGAGTGGTGAAGTATGGTTAAACAACCACCCGCGCTGACCAGAGTGGTGAAGTATGGTTAAACAACCCCCTGGTGACCAGGGTGGTGAAGTATGGTTAAACAACCCCCGCGCTGACCAGAGTGGTGAAGTATGGTTAAACAACCCCCTGGTGACCAGAGTGGTGAAGTATGGTTAAACAACCCCCTGGTGACCAGGGTGGTGAAGTATGGTTAAACAACCCCCGTGTTGACCAGAGTGGTGAAGTATGGTTAAACATCCCCCACACTGACCAGAGTGGTGAAGTCTGGTTATACAACCCCCTGGTGACCAGAGTGGTGAAGTATGGATAAACAACCCCCTGGTGACCAGAGTGGTGAAGTATGGTTAAACAACTCCCACATTGACCAGAGTGGTGAAGTATGGTTAAACAACCCCCGTGTTGACCAGAGTGGTGAAGTATGGTTAAACATCCCCCTGGTGACCAGAGTGGTGAAGTATGGTTAAACAACCCCCTGGTGACCAGAGTGGTGAAGTATGGTTAAACAACCCCCACACTGACCAGAGTGGTGAAGTATGGTTAAACATCCCCCTGGTGACCAGAGTGGTGAAGTATGGTTAAACAACCCCCTGGTGACCAGAGTGGTGAAGTATGGTTAAACAACCCCCCACGCTGACCAGAGTGGTGAAGTATGGTTAAACAACCCCCACACTCACCAGAGTGGTGAAGTATGGTTAAACATCCCCCTGGTGACCAGAGTGGTGAAGTATGGTTAAACATCCCCCACGTTGACCAGAGTGGTGAAGTATGGTTAAACATCCCCCACGTTGACCAGAGTGGTGAAGTATGGTTAAACAACCCCCACACTGACCAGAGTGGTGAAGTATGGTTAAACAACCCCCCGTGCTGACCAGGGTGGTGAAGTATGGTTAAACATCCCCCTTGCTGACCAGAGTGGTGAAGTATTGTTAAACAACCCCCCGCGTTGACCAGAGTGGTGAAGTATGGTTAAACAACCCCCGCGTTGACCAGAGTGGTGAAGTATGGTTAAACATCCCCCGCGTTGACCAGAGTGGTGAAGTATGGTTAAACAACCCCCACACTGACCAGAGTGGTGAAGTATGGTTAAACAACCCCCCGTGCTGACCAGAGTGGTGAAGTATGGTTAAACCCCCCGTGCTGACCAGAGTGGTGAAGTATGGTTAAACAACCCCCCGTGCTGACCAGAGTGGTGAAGTATGGTTAAACAACCCCCCGTGCTGACCAGAGTGGTGAAGTATGGTTAAACAACCCCCCGTGCTGACCAGAGTGGTGAAGTATGGTTAAACAACCCCCTGGTGACCAGAGTGGTGAAGTATGGTTAAACAACCCCCACACTGACCAGAGTGGTGAAGTATGGTTAAACAACCCCCTGGTGACCAGAGTGGTGAAGTATGGTTAAACAACCCCCTGGTGACAAGAGTGGTGAAGTATGGTTAAACAACCCCCACACTGACCAGAGTGGTGAAGTATGTTTAAACAACCCCCTGGTGACCAGAGTGGTGAAGTATGGTTAAACATCCCCCCACGCTGACCAGAGTGGTGAAGTATGGTTAAACAACCCCCACACTGACCAGAGTGGTGAAGTATGGTTAAACAACCCCCTGGTGACCAGAGTGGTGAAGTATGGTTAAACATCCCCCCGTGCTGACCAGAGTGGTGAAGTATGGTTAAACAACCCCCCGTGCTGACCAGAGTGGTGAAGTATGGTTAAACATCCCCCGCACTGACCAGAGTGGTGAAGTATGGTTAAACATCCCCCACACTGACCAGAGTGGTGAAGTATGGTTAAACAACCCCCTGGTGACCAGAGTGGTGAAGTATGGTTAAACAACCCCCGCACTGCCCAGAGTGGTGAAGTATGGTTAAACAACCCCCACACTGACCAGAGTGGTGAAGTATGGTTAAACAACCCCCTGGTGACCAGAGTGGTGAAGTATGGTTAAACATCCCCCACGCTGACCAGAGTGGTGAAGTATGGTTAAACAACCCCCTGGTGACCAGAGTGGTGAAGTATGGTTAAACATCCCCCGCGTTGACCAGAGTGGTGAAGTATGGTTAAACAACTCCCACACTGACCAGAGTGGTGAAGTATGGTTAAACAACCACCCGTGCTGACCAGAGTGGTGAAGTATGGTTAAACAACCACCCGTGCTGACCAGAGTGGTGAAGTATGGTTAAACAACCCCCTGGTGACCAGAGCGGTGAAGTATGGTTAAACAACCCCCCGTGCTGACCAGGGTGGTGAAGTATGGTTAAACAACCCCCTTGCTGACCAGAGTGGTGAAGTATGGTTAAACAACCCCCCGTGCTGACCACAGTGGTGAAGTATGGTTAAACAACCCCCTGGTGACCAGAGTGGTGAAGTATGGTTAAACAACCCCCTGGTGACCAGAGTGGTGAAGTATGGTTAAACAACCCCCTGGTGACCAGAGTGGTGAAGTATGGTTAAACATCCCCCTGGTGACCAGAGTGGTGAAGTATGGTTAAACAACCCCCGCGCTGACCAGAGTGGTGAAGTATGGTTAAACATCCCCCACACTGACCAGAGTGGTGAAGTATGGTTAAACAACCCCCGCGCTGACCAGAGTGGTGAAGTATGGTTAAACAACCCCCTGGTGACCAGAGTGGTGAAGTATGGTTAAACAACCCCCTGGTGACCAGAGTGGTGAAGTATGGTTAAACATCCCCCTGGTGACCAGAGTGGTGAAGTATGGTTAAACAACCCCCGCGCTGACCAGAGTGGTGAAGTATGGTTAAACATCCCCCACACTGACCAGAGTGGTGAAGTATGGTTAAACAACCCCCGCGCTGACCAGAGTGGTGAAGTATGGTTAAACAACCCCCTGGTGACCCTCTTTCGGCAGTGGGTTGATACATGGGCTGTCCGCGTACACGGTTGAATTGACCCTCGTCATGGGAACGTGGAATTTCCACTGCTCTCTGCCTTAGCGTCTGCCCGGTGTCCTGTGCCTCCTCGCTCTCTCCCCAGACACAGGTTAACCGACGTCTCCCCGCGTCTCCACCCGTGTCTCCCCCCCCGTGTCTCCCCCCCGTGTCCCCGCTCGTCCGCACGTTCCTGCAACTGTCCCTGTGCCTCCGCGTCCCCCTGTCTCTCCCTGCGTCTCCCCCCGCCGTGTCTCTCCCCGCGTCTCCCCCCGCCGTGTCTCTCCCCGCGTCTCCCCCTGTCTCTCCCCGCGTCTCCCCCGCCGTGTCTCTCCCCGCGTCTCCCCCGCCGTGTCTCTCCCCGCGTCTCCCCCCGCCGTGTCTCTCCCTGCGTCTCCCCCCGCCGTGTCTCTCCCTGCGTCTCCCCCCGCCGTGTCTCCCCCCGCGTCTCCCCCTGTCTCTCCCCGCGCGTCTCCCCCCGCCGTGTCTCTCCCCGCGTCTCCCCCCCCCGTGTCTCTCCCTGCGTCTCCCCCCGCCGTGTCTCTCCCCGCGTCTCCCCCCGCCGTGTCTCTCCCCGCGTCTCCCCCCGCCGTGTCTCTCCCTGCGTCTCCCCCCGCCGTGTCTCCCCCCGCGTCTCCCCCTGTCTCTCCCCGCGCGTCTCCCCCCGCCGTGTCTCTCCCCGCGTCTCCCCCCCCCGTGTCTCTCCCTGCGTCTCCCCCCGCCGTGTCTCTCCCCGCGTCTCCCCCCGCCGTGTCTCTCCCCGCGTCTCCCCCCGCCGTGTCTCTCCCCGCGCGTCTCCCCCCGCCGTGTCTCTCCCTGCGTCTCCCCCCGCCGTGTCTCTCCCTGCGTCTCCCCCGCCGTGTCTCTCCCTGCGTCTCCCCCCGCCGTGTCTCTCCCTGCGTCTCCCCCCGCCGTGTCTCTCCCCCCGCGTCTCCCCCCGCCGTGTCTCTCCCTGCGTCTCCCCCCGCCGTGTCTCTCCCTGCGTCTCCCCCGCCGTGTCTCTCCCTGCGTCTCCCCCCGCCGTGTCTCTCCCCGCGCGTCTCCCCCGCCGTGTCTCTCCCTGCGTCTCCCCCCGCCGTGTCTCTCCCCGCGCGTCTCCCCCCGCCGTGTCTCTCCCCGCGCGTCTCCCCCCGCCGTGTCTCTCCCCCCGCGTCTCCCCCCGCCGTGTCTCTCCCTGCGTCTCCCCCCGCCGTGTCTCTCCCCGCGTCTCCCCCCGCCGTGTCTCTCCCTGCGTCTCCCCCCGCCGTGTCTCTCCCCGCGCGTCTCCCCCCGCCGTGTCTCTCCCTGCGTCTCCCCCCGCCGTGTCTCTCCCCGCGTCTCCCCCCGCCGTGTCTCTCCCTGCGTCTCCCCCCGCCGTGTCTCTCCCCGCGCGTCTCCCCCCGCCGTGTCTCTCCCCGCAGGACATGCTGGACGCTCTGCGTGCCCTCTCCGAGTTCTTCACGGACAACTCCCTGCGCTCGAGAAGGAGTCTCCGCGGGGACATTGAGCGGCGCAGCCTCGGGGTCAACGAGCAGTTCGTGAGCGGCTTCCGCGAAGTCAAGGAGGTCAGGGACACGCGGGGTGGGGTGGTGGGTGGGGTGGGTGGGGTGGGTGGGGTGGGTGGGGTGGGTGGGGTGGGTGGGGTGGGTGGGGTGGGTGGGGTGGGGGGGGACGTGAGGAGACACCGCGGGAGACGCAGGTCGTCGGACGCCTCCGCGATTTCACGGAGGTGCGGGTGGGGTTGGGTGGGTGGGCACCCGGAGACACCTGCACACCCGAGACGCACAAAGTGACGGTAATGGGAACACGCGCGGGGAGAAACGACGGTGACGGGGGGGGGGGGGGGGGGGGGCAGGGAGGGTGACGGGGATGGGTGGGCGGGGGGAGCCCACAAGACACGTGCCCACGAAGTTGCTTCCACGCCCCCACATTTCTTTTTTTTATTTTGCCAGGTGAGGCCCCGCTGAGGAGCTACGTAGCTCGTTTTTCACAGGCGGCCTGGCTATCACAAATGGTAGCTCAACGAAGTGGCTGGCTTCTGTTGAAATTCATAACAGCCGTGTACTCGTCACGCGTGTCGGGAGAAAAGCGGAGGACCCGGAGGAACAGAAAACCACGCCACCACGGGGAGAGACACGCAAACGCTAAACGTGCGGCAGGCGTCCGAGTCGGGATGTAACCCACGACCTACTGCATACCAGGCGAGGTAGTAAACATCACGGTGACGCCCCCCGTGACATGTTGACTCTCTCTCTGTCCGGCTCTGCAGGACCTTGACAGCATCATCTCCGACGTCCAGGCCATGGCCTCGTGCTGCCAGGACATGACCTCGCGCATCAAGGTCAGTGCTGGAACGTGCGGTGACGCCGTTACACAGCCACGCTCCCGGGGGAAAGGGTCAGGGTTGAGAGGGCAAGGGTCAGGGGTGAGGGGGCGAGGGTCAGGGGCGAGAGGGCGATGGTCAGGTTCAGATGTGAGAGTGCGAGAGGGTGAGGGTCAGGGATGAGAGGGCGAGGACCAGGGATGAGAGGGCAAGGGTCAGGGATGAGAGGGCAAGGGTCAGAGGCGAGAGGGCGAGGGTCAGGGGTGAAAGGGCGAGGGTCAGAGGCGAGAGGGTGAGGGTCAGGGGCGAAACGGCGAGGCTCAGGGGTGAGAGGGCGAGAGTCAGAGGTGAGAGGGCAAGAGGGCGAGGGTCAGGGGTGAAAGGGCGAGGTGGTGAGCGTTGGGAGGGCAGGGTTATTGGTCACGACGTGACGCGTTGTCGCACCTCACTCAGCGGCGACAGTCGTCACCAGAGGAGGTGGAGGGCCCCTCCTGAAACGTCGAGCTTTCAGGGCCGCACGTAAATAAACTAAAATTAACTTTGAATGCGTCTTCTGCTGTACTTATGAATGCAATCCTAATTTTGCCTCGCGGAGGTCGACTCCGCCTCTAGCGGAGCACCTGGCGTGTAGCGGTGGTGTAGTGAGCATCGCCACCGGGGAGACAAAGGCGGCCGGGCGTGGTGCTGGCCACCCACCCACAAAGCCCCTCGTGTGTCACAGCGCCGACCCTCTCGGGTCGCTGCAGTGGCCGTTTAAGGCTTCGCGCGGAGGGCTTTTTTTTTCGTCTTCGCGCTACAATGCCGTCGCCTGTGACTGTGAATGTTGAGACGAAGCCTCGTGCAAATGCGCAGGCAACCAAGGAGGAGACGCGCGATCTCATCGGGAAGACGACGAAACTTCAGGCTGAGATGTGAGCCCAGCCGCACGCACGCACACACACAAACACGGACAAACACGGACAAAGGCCCGCCGTGTAGCCCCACGCGTGGCCGTCAGCACGCACAAGGCCCTCATTTCAGGCTAAGTCGACCTAGCGCAAGGGCCCGGGACCGGTCGCCGGTGTTGGCCGACGGGTTCGCCCCCGCCCCTTGTGCACGCGCGAACACGCGTGCACCACTTGCCACTGCTGTCTACGTAGGCTACGCGGCGGTGGGGGCGGGGGGGGGTCTGTGTCTTAACGCGGGCCCCACTGAGCTGTGCGGCTCTTTGCGCAGAAGTGTGACTTGGCCGCAAGTGGCAGCGCAACGGAGTGGCGGCCCGTCGTCACGTGGGCATGTAGAGCGGCAGGCAAATGCTCTGAGCGCGTGACGTTGAGTCTCAATGTGGAAGGAAGAACCGGAGGTGCTAGAGAAAAATCCACGCGACCACGGGGGAGAGAGAACGAGGGAGAGAGAGAGAGACACGCAAACTCCAAATATACAGCAGCAGCAGCAGCAGGCGTCAGGGTCGGGATCGAACCCACGACCTCCTGTACACCAGGCGAGGTAGTTAACATCTCATAGCCACCGTGATGATGAGAGAGAGAGACACACGCAGACTCGAAATATACAGCAGCAAGCGTCAGGGTCGGGATAAAACCCACGACCTCTTGTATACCTGGCGAGGTAGTCAACATCTCCTAGCCACCGTGATGATGATGAGAGAGATAGAGAGAGACACGCAAACTCCAAATACACAGCAGCAGTCTGGATCGAACCCACGACCTCATGCACACCAGGCGAGGTAGTTAACATCTCCTAGCCACTGTGATGATGATGATGAGAGAGAGACACGCAGACTCCAAACATACAGCAGCAGGCGTCAGGGTCGGGATCGAACCCACGACCTCCTGTACACCAGGCGAGGTAGTCAACATCTCCTGGCCACCGTGTCCGTGCAGGCAGCGGCTGGGCGTGCGAGCCCGAGTAGCAGACGCCTTCCTCTCGCGCTTTCAGCTCACGGCGGAGGAGGTTCGAATCCTCCGCGGGTCCAGGGACTCCTCCATCACCATGGTAACAGCCCTCCACCACCGCCCCCCCCCCCTCCCCACCTTGTCATGGAAACAAAGACGATCCGCTCGCTCTCTGACTTGGAAAGCTCAATCGCTCGCTCACACGATTACTCGCTCACTGGCACGCTCACACACGCTCGATTACACGCTCGCACGGTCGCTCACAAGCTCGCTCGCTCGCACACCGTTTCGCTCGCTCACGCGCTCACACGATCACACGGTCAAGCGGTCAAATGGTCACACATTCACACATTCACACGATCACACGCTCACACGATCACACGCTCACACGATCACACGATCACACGCTCACACGGTCACACGCTCTCGCGGTCACACGCTCACACATTCACACGATCACGCGCTCACACACTCACACGGTCACACGATCACACGCTCACACGCTCACACGATCACGCGCTCACACACTCACACGGTCACACGCTCACACGCTCACACGCTCACACGATCACACGATCACACGCTCACACGCTCACACGCTCACACGATCACACGATCACACGCTCACACGCTCACACGCTCACACGCTCACGCGCTCACACGATCACTCGCTCACACGATCACACGATCACACGATCACACGACCACACGCTCACTCGCTCACACGCTCACACGCTCACGCGCTCACGCGCTCACACGCTCACTCGCTCACACGCTCACACGCTCACACGCTCACACGCTCACACGCTCACACGCTCACACGGTCACACGATCACACGATCACACGTTCACACGATCACACGATCACACGACCACATGCTCACTCGCTCACACGCTCACACGCTCACACGATCACACGCTCACACGATCACACGGTCACACGATCACACGCTCACACGATCACACGATCACACGGTCACACGATCACACGCTCACACGATCACACGATCACACGCTCACACGCTCACGCGATCACATGCTCACACGCTCACACGATCACACGATCACGCGCTCACGCGATCACACGCTCACACGATCACACGCTCACACGATCACACGATCACACGGTCACGCGCTCACGCGCTCACGCGATCACGCGATCACACGCTCACGCGCTCACGCGCTCACGCGATCACACGATCACACGCTCACACGCGCACACGATCACACGATCACACGCTCACACGCTCACACGACCACGCGCTCACACGCTCACACGCTCACACGCTCACACGCTCACACGATCACACGATCACACGATCACACGCTCACGCGGTCACGCGCTCACGCGCTCACGCGCTCACGCGCTCACGCGCTCACGCAATCACGCGATCACACGATCACACGTTCACACGCTCACACGATCACACGATCACACGACCACACGCTCACTCGCTCACACGCTCACACGATCACACGATCACATGATCACACGCTCACACGCTCACACGATCACACGCTCACACGCTCACACGCTCACACGATCACACGATCACACGATCACACGCTCACACGATCACACGCTCACACGATCACACGATCACACGATCACACGCTCACACGATCACACGCTCACACGATCACACGATCACACGCTCACACGCTCACACGATCACACGCTCACACGATCACACGCTCACACGATCACACGATCACACGCTCACACGATCACACGATCACACGCTCACTCGCTCACACGCTCACACAACCACACGATCACACGCTCACACTCACACGCTCACACGCTCACACGCTCGCACGGGCACTTGGTCACCTGCTCACTCACTCGCAACGAGTGATATGAATGATCGACGACGATGATTATCATTGCCACGAGACGGGGCCGCGGCTAAACGTTCCAGCGTCCATGCGTGTGCACGATTTGTCTTTACTCGTGCTGAAGTACGCAGACATTAATTTTTTCTTTCCATCACCCCCCTCCCCCCTCCCCCCAACCCACCCCACACCCCCTCGTACCACCGCAGGAATTTTTCGACGTGCTGGCCCGGGTGAAGTGCATCCACAGCGACGTCAAAGTGCTGCTGAGGACCAATCAGCAGACGGCCGGGTACGGCAAGCCCCCCCCCACCCCCCCCCCCCCCCCCCCCCCACCCACCGCCACCCGCTCTGCGGAGTGGGTCGCAGGTAACCCGCGGCTACTTGCGGGCAACCCGCGGGTTCTTGCGGAGACCCGCTGGTACTTGAGTTCGACTTCATTCCAACTCGCCTTGCGAGTCACCAGGCAGGTACGTGCGGGGTTACCCATGGGTACGCACGCACGGGTTACACGATCCGATGCCAGCGGCGGCGGAGGTGGCGGCATTGGCGGCGGCGTTGTCCTGCGGCAAACCGTGTCGAGTTGAATCTCGATTTGACGTTTTCGTGACTGCAGGGATCCGTACGCTTTGGTTCTCACGGTCAAGTCCACGGCCTTCTCCTCGCGTCTTTACGCAGCGCTCCCCCTACCCCTACCCCACACGCCTCCCTCTGCCCCCGTGCTCCTACCCCTTTCTTACCTCTATAACCTCTTACCACGGCAACTCTCACTCTCTCCGTCTCCGGCAAGCAAAAAAAACATTCTTGCTGTGGTTTTTCACACCCGACGACGATTGCTCGTGCGGCAATCGAAACGTCGTGATTTGTTTTATTTAACACCTACGTGACTTTACCGAAAGAGCCAAAAAGCATGTGGAGTTGATTTTTTGTTTAATAAGGGGAGAACGAAAGAGAGCCATGCTGAGTGTAATTGGTAGAAGTGGGTGGGTGGGTGGGTGAGTGGGTGGGTGGGTGGGTGAGTGGGTGGGTGGGTGGGTGAGTGGGTGGGTGGGTGAGTGAGTGAGTGGGTGGGTGAGTGGGTGGGTGGGTGGGTGGGTGGTTGGGTGGGTGGGTGGGTGGGTGGGTGAGTGGGTGGGTGAGTGGGTGGGTGAGTGGGTGGGTGGGTGAGTGGGTGGGTGGGTGGGTGAGTGGGTGGGTGGGTGGGTGAGTGGGTGGGTGGGTGGGTGAGTGGGTGAGTGGGTGAGTGGGTGGGTGGGTGGGTGGGTGGGTGTGTGGGTGGGTGAGTGGGTGGGTGGGTGAGTGGGTGGGTGGGTGGGTGAGTGGGTGGGTGGGTGGGTGAGTGGGTGGGTGGGTGGGTGAGTGGGTGAGTGGGTGGGTGGGTGAATGGGTGAGTGGGTGGGTGGGTGGGTGAGTGGGTGGGTGGGTGGGTGGTGGCGACGTGGTGGCAGGACAGACGCGACGTGAATGTGATCCAGACGCACGCCTGAACAGCAATCCTTTAGTACAGCTTTGTTCCGACTCGCCTTGCGGGTCACTCGCAGGTACGTGCAGGTACCTGTGAGTTACCCATGGGTACGTAATAGTACCCATGGGTACCCGTGGGTTAGTCACTTGCCCATCCACCCTCCCACCCATTCACTCGCTCGCCCATCCACCCATTCACTCACGCACCTACCTACCTGTTCACCCACTTACTCACCCACCCATTCACTCGCTAACCCATTCACCCACCGATTCACTCGCTCACCCATCCACCCACCCATTCATTCGCTCACCCATCCACCCATTCACTCACGCACCTACCTACCTACCTGTTCACCCACTCACTCACCCACCCATTCACTCGCTAACCCATTCACCCACCGATTCACTCGCTCACCCATCCACCCACCCATTCATTCGCTCACCCATCCACCCATTCACTCACGCACCTACCTATTCACCCACCCACTTCACCACCCTCCCACCCATTCACTCGCTCGCCCATCCACCCATTCACGCACGCACCTACCTATTCACCTGTTCACTAACCCACCCTCCCACCCATTCACTCGCTCACCCAATCACCCATTCACTCACCTTCCCACTAAATGACTCATAAGTCCGCCCGCCCACCCAGCAATCCATGTTCTAACCCACTTGCTCACCCGCCCGCTCACCCACCCTCTCGCCCCCCCCCCCCTCCTCCACCCTCAGCCTGGAGATCATGGAGCAGATGGCTCTACACCAGGAGGCCGCCTATGAGAGACTTTACCGCTGGGCCCAAGGTGACTTCTCCAGGCATAGACCACATAGACTCACTCAGGGCCAGGCTCGCATGAACTTAAACAAGGAAACGATTTTATCTGGGGAGCGGTGGCGCGGTGGTTGGCACGCTGCGCTACGAAACCCTGCAGAGACCCGGGTTCGATTCCCGCTCACGGGCCACCAACACCGGTGACGATTATCTGCACCGGTCCCGGGCCTCCCCTAAGCCGGCTCAGCCTCAAAATTAGCACCTGGTGCGGTGTGTAAACATCGGCACCGGATCGAAAAAGGCGGCCGGGCGTGATGCTGGCCACCCACCCCTTCGTGTGCCGCTCCGGCCTTCGAAGTTCGCCGCTACTCGCGAACGGCACTTGCCTCGAAAAGTCTGTTAGAGGCTCCGCGGGAGACTTTGACTTTGGCTGTGCGCGCGAGTGTGGGAATGTGCGAGTTTATGTGTGTGCGAGTGTTCGTTTGTGTGCGCGTGTGTGTGTGTGAGTGACGATTACACGAACCGGTCCTGGGCCCTCCTCTAGCTCGGCTCGGCCTCGAACGAGTACCCGCTACGACTTTCAAACGTCGCCACGCGCTGCTGAGCGCGCGGAGCTGCACGCGAGTGCGTCCGCGCCGGGCCTTCGTAGGTGCCGCTCGCTTCCGTGCACGCTTGCCCCGACCGCCTGCCGGAGGCTAAGCCCCGGGGGCGGGCGGGGTGTGTGTGTCCCTTTGTCTCTTGTGTGCGCGTGCACGCGCAGGGGAGTGCCGCAGCATGACGCACGACTCGTGCGACGTGGCGGGCGTGCTCTCCCGCGCCGTCGGGGCACTCCAGGACCGCCCCGTGCTGCTCAAGTGAGGCCACCACCACCACCACCACCACCATCCCCCTCCACCACCACCACCACCACCTCGCCCGTTCCCAAGACGCCCGCGGGAGGTTTCGCCACCGAATCGCGGTTGGAGAGGCGGCGGCGGCGGCGGCGGCGGCGGCAGCGGCGTTTTGCTTTTGAAGGCGTCGCCGCTGACCGCGTTGAGCCGGTCGCCCGCGGCGAGGCTTCGCCGCCGGCGACGACGCTCCCTCGCGGCGGCCCCGGTGCTCCGTCTTGCGACCTCAGAGACGTGCCGAGCCGCGGTGGTCATCGTTTGCGTTCACTCCCCATTCCGTTCCCGATGACTGAATGCAGTTAACCCTCCGCCACCGAATCGACGATGGTTCGGTGGCAGTGAGTTGTACGCTAGACTCTGCAGCCGTTTGCAAGCATACGCCCCTTCCTGGAACCGCGTTTCCCGCAAGCCCGCTAAGAATCGCGATATATTTTTACACCGGAGCAAACCGTTGAGCTATAAAGGTAATTTTTTCACGTATGTCCAGTAATGGGCACGGGGTCAGAACGTTACAACAACACACAGTTACAAAAACACGATCGGAGTGCAAAGTGTAGGAACGGTCAGCACGTCACTTAACAACAGTATGTACAGTAAAACCTTGGATTGCGAGGAGCATAATTCGCTCCGGAAACGTGCTTGTAATCCAAAGCACTCGTATATCAAAGCACTCGTATATCAGTTGTGTGATCACGTGATGCTCGGCAGACAAAGCGTATACACGTACACTGCTCGTATTGCAAGACCCTCGCTCGGTTAGTAAATTAATATTTATTTAAAATGTTGATTTAAAGCTTTCGTGACTGCAGGGATTCATATTCTTGGTTCTTTCGGTAAAGTCACCACGTAGAAGGGAAACAATAAAATAATAAAAATATAAAACAATAAAATTCTCACGACGTTTCGACTGCAACACAAGCAATCATCATGAGGTGTGAAAACCACAGCAAGACAATTTGAAAAAAGTGGCGTTTGTTTTTTAACGTTACCACCACGGAGAGCGATTTGACAGTTTGTTCAGATGGACGAGTCCATCCATTATTTTCGTCTCCCCCCCTCCTCTTTTCCGAACATAGATGGACTCGTCCATCTGAATGACTGCCAAATCGCTCTCCGTGGTGCTAACGTTAAAAAACAAACGCCACTTTTTTTCAAATTTTCTTGCTGTGGTTTTCACACCCGATGATGATTGCTTGTGTGTTGCAGTCGAAACGTCGTGAGAATTTTATTGTTTTATATTTTTATTATTTTAAAAAAAAATGTTTGACTCGTCTTGCAAAACACTCGCATAACCAAGTTACTCGCAATCCAAGGTTTTACTCTGTATATACAATTACGATTCAACGATGTTATTCTACCAGGTTGAGGCCCACTGAGCTGCGTAGCTCTTTGTCAGAGGCGACCCTGGCCACAGATGATCGCCCGAGGCAGTGGAAATGTTTTGCAGCCAACCAGTCGGAACGCGTGGTGATGTTGATTCTAAATTTGGAGGGAAGAACCGGAGGACCCGGAGAAAAATCCACGCGATCACGGGGAGAGAGAGAGAGAGAGAGACGCGCAATTTCCAAATATACAGCAGCAGGCGTTCGGTTCTGGATCGAACCCACGACCTCCTGTATACCAGAAGCGGTAGTTAACATCTCCTAGCCACCGTGATGATGATCAGAGAGAGAGAGATACGCAAACTCCAAATATACAGCAGGCGTTCGGTTTTGGATTGAACTCACGACCTCCTGTATACCAGGAGCGGTAGTTAACATCTCCTAGCCACCGTGATGAGCATGAGAGAGAGAGAGACACGCAAACTCCAAATATACAGCAGGCGTTCAGTTCTGAATCGAACCCACGACCTCCTGTATACCAGGAGCGGTAGTTAACATCTCCTAGCCACCGTGATGATTATCAGAGAGAGAGAGATACGCAAACTCCAAATATACAGCAGGCGTTCGGTTTTGGATTGAACTCACGACCTCCTGTATACCAGGAGCGGTAGTTAACATCTCCTAGCCACCGTGATGATGAGAGAGAGAGAGATACGCAAACTCCAAATATACAGCAGCAGGCGTTCGGTTCTGGATCGAACCCTGTACAGTAGTTCCTCGGTTTAACAGTGACCCTGTCCCCCCGCTACCCCCCCCACCGCCGGTGCCAGGTACACGCTGGACGAGTTTGGCACGGGGCGGAGGAGCGCGGTCGTGAGGGGCTTCATCGACGCGCTGACACGGGGGGGGCCCGGCGGGACCCCGCGGCCAATCGAGATGCACTCCCACGACCCGCTGCGGTGAGGCGGCAACATCAGCGTCGTCCTCATTATCATCGGCAGTGGCATCATCAGCGGTATCGTCAGCAGCAGCATCATCACGATCAGTAGCAGCAGCAGCATCATCACGATCAGTAGCAGCAGCAACAGCAGCAGCAGCAGCATCATCACGATCAGTAGCATCGTCAGTAGCAGCAGCATCATCACGATCAGCAGCAGCAGCATCATCACGATCAGTAGAATCATAAGTAGCAGCAGCATCATCACGATCAGTAGCAACGTCAGTAGCAGCAGCATCATCATCACGATCAGTAGCATCGTCAGTAGCAGCAGCATCATAATCACGATCAGTAACATCAGCAGCAGCATCATCACGATCAGTAGCAGCAGCATCATCACGATCAGTAGCATCATCAGTAGCAGCAGCATCATCACGATCAGGAGCAGCAGCAGCAGCATCATCACGATCAGTAGCAGCAGCATCATCACGATCAGTAGCATCGTCAGCAGCAGCATCACGATCAGTAGCATCATCAGTAGCAGCAGCATCATCACGATCAGTAGCTGCAGCATCATCACGATCAGTAGCAGCAGCAGCAGCAGCATCATCACGATCAGTAGCAGCTGCAGCATCATCACAATCAGGAGCAGCAGCAGCATCATCACGATCAGTAGCAGCAGCAACAGCAGCAGCAGCAGCATCATCACGATCAGTAGCATCGTCAGTAGCAGCAGCATCATCACGATCAGCAGCAGCAGCATCATCACGATCAGTAGAATCATCAGTAGCAGCAGCATCATCACGATCAGTAGCAACGTCAGTAGCAGCAGCATCATCATCACGATCAGTAGCATCGTCAGTAGCAGCAGCATCATAATCACGATCAGTAACATCAGCAGCAGCATCATCACGATCAGTAGCAGCAGCATCATCACGATCAGTAGCATCATCAGTAGCAGCAGCATCATCACGATCAGGAGCAGCAGCAGCAGCATCATCACGATCAGTAGCAGCAGCATCATCACGATCAGTAGCATCGTCAGCAGCAGCATCACGATCAGTAGCATCATCAGTAGCAGCAGCATCATCACGATCAGTAGCTGCAGCATCATCACGATCAGTAGCAGCAGCAGCAGCATCATCACGATCAGTAGCATCATCAGTAGCAGCAGCATCATCACAATCAGTAGCAGCAGCAGCATCATCACGATCAGTAGCATCGTCAGCAGCAGCATCACGATCAGTAGCATCATCAGTAGCAGCAGCAGCAGCATCACGATCAGTAGCGTTATTAGCAGCAGCAGCATCATCATCACGATCAGTAGCAGCAGCAGCATCATCACGATCAGTAGCAGCAGCAGCATCATCACGATCAGTAGCATCGTCAGTAGCAGCAGCATCATCACGATCAGTAGCATCATCAGTAGCAGCAGCATCATCATCAGGATCAGTAGCATCGTCAGTAGTAGCAGCAGCATCATCATCACGATCAGTAGTGTGTCACTATCATTGTGTGTGTGTCACTGTGGGGAGCGGTAGTGTAGCGGTTAGCGCTACGCCCTGCTATGAACCTGGCGACCCGGGTTCGATTCCCGCTCACGACCAACACCAGTGACGATTATCTGAACCGGTCCTGGGCCTCCCCTAGGTCGACTTAGCCTCAAATGGGTACCTGGTGCGGTGAATAAAAACATCGCCACTGGGGAGACAAAGGCGGTCGGGCGTGGTGCTGGCCACCCACCCCCTCGTGTACCGTTCCGGCCTTCATAGGTGCTCGCTAACAGCACTTGCCCCTACAGTCTGTTAAGGCTATACGGGGGATCTTTGTCTTTGTGTGTGTGTGTGTCACTGTCATTGTGTGTGTGTCACTGTGTCACCGTGTGTGTCACTATCACTGTGTGTGTGTGTCACTGTCACTGTGTGTGTCACTGTCATTATGTGTGTCACTGTGTCACCATGTGTGTCACTATCACTGTTTGTGTGTCGCTGTGTCACCGTGTGTGTCACTATCACTGTGTGTGTGTCACTGTCACTGTGTGTGTGTCACTATCACTGTGTGTGTGTCGCTGTGTGCCACTGTCACTGTGTGTGTCACTGTGTTGCTGTGTGTGTCACTATCAATGTGTGTGTGTCAGTGTCACCGTGTGTGTCACTATCACTGTGTGTGTCACTGTCATTGTGTGTGTGTCAGTGTCACCGTGTGTGTCACTATCACTGTGTGTGTGTGTCACTGTCACTGTGTGTGTCACTGTCATTGTGTGTGTGTCACCGTGTGTGTCACTATCACTGTGTGTGTGTGTCACTGTCACTGTGTGTGTCACTGTGTCGCTGTGTGTGTCACTATCAATGTGTGTGTCACTATCACTGTGTGTGTCACTGTCATTGTGTGTGTGTCACCGTGTCACCGTGTGTGTCACTGTCACTGTGTGTGTCACTGTCATTGTGTGTGTGTCACTGTCACCGTGTGTGTCACTGTGTCACGGTGTGTGTCACTATCACTGTGTGTGTGTGTCACTGTGTGTCACTATCACTGTGTGTGTGTCACTGTGTCACCGTGTGTGTCACTATCACTGTGTGTCGCTGTGTGTCACTATCATTGTGTGTGTGTCACTGTCATTGTGTGTGTCACTGTGTCACTGTGTGTGTCACTTTCACTGTGTGTGTCACTGTCACTGTGTGTGTGTCACTGTGTCACCGTGTGTGTCACTATCACTGTGTGTGTGTCGCTGTGTGTCACTATCACTGTGTGTGTCGCTGTGTCACTGTGTGTGTCACTATCACTGTGTGTGTGTCGCTGTGTGCCACTGTCACTGTGTGTGTCACTGTGTCACCGTGTGTGTCACTATCATTGTGTGTGTGTCACTGTCACTGTGTGTGTCACTGTCATTATGTGTGTCACTGTGTCACCATGTGTGTCACTATCACTGTGTGTGTGTGTCGCTGTGTGTCACTATTACTGTGTGTGTGTCACTGTGTCACCGTGTGTGTCACTGTCACTGTGTGTGTCACTGTCATTGTGTGTGTGTCACTGTGTCACTATCACTGTGTGTGTGTCGCTGTGTGCCACTCACTGTGTGTGTCACTGTGTCGCTGTGTGTGTCACTATCACTGTGTGTGTGTGTCACTGTCATTGTGTGTGTCACTATGTCACTGTGTGTGTCACTATCACTGTGTGTGTCACTGTCACTGTGTGTGTGTGTCACTGTCATTGTGTGTGTCACTGTGTCACCGTGTGTATCACTATCACTGTGTGTGTGTCGCTGTGTGACACTGTCACTGTGTGTGTCACTGTCGCTGTGTGTGTCACTATCACTGTGTGTGTGTCACTGTCACTGTGTGTGGGTGTCACTGTGTGTGTCACTGTGTCACTGTGTGTGTCACTGTGTGTGTCACTGTCACTGTGTGTGTCACTATCACTGTGGGTGTGTCACTGTGTGTCACTATCACTGTGTGTGTGTCACTGTCATTGTGTGTCACTGTGTCACTGTGTGTGTCACTGTGTGTGTCACTATCACTGTGTGCGTCACTGTGTCACGGTGTGTGTCACTGTGTGTCACTATCACTGTGTGTGTGTCACTGTGTCACCGTGTGTGTCACTATCACTGTGTGTGTGTCGCTGTGTGTCACTATCACTGTGTGTGTCGCTGTGTCACTGTGTGTGTCACTATCACTGTGTGTGTGTCGCTGTGTGCCACTGTCACTGTGTGTGTCACTGTGTCACCGTGTGTGTCACTATCATTGTGTGTGTGTCACTGTCACTGTGTGTGTCACTGTCATTATGTGTGTCACTGTGTCACCATGTGTGTCACTATCACTGTGTGTGTGTGTCGCTGTGTGTCACTATTACTGTGTGTGTGTCACTGTGTCACCGTGTGTGTCACTGTCACTGTGTGTGTCACTGTCATTGTGTGTGTGTCACTGTGTCACTATCACTGTGTGTGTGTCGCTGTGTGCCACTCACTGTGTGTGTCACTGTGTCGCTGTGTGTGTCACTATCACTGTGTGTGTGTGTCACTGTCATTGTGTGTGTCACTATGTCACTGTGTGTGTCACTATCACTGTGTGTGTCACTGTCACTGTGTGTGTGTGTCACTGTCATTGTGTGTGTCACTGTGTCACCGTGTGTATCACTATCACTGTGTGTGTGTCGCTGTGTGACACTGTCACTGTGTGTGTCACTGTCGCTGTGTGTGTCACTATCACTGTGTGTGTGTCACTGTCACTGTGTGTGGGTGTCACTGTGTGTGTCACTGTGTCACTGTGTGTGTCACTGTGTGTGTCACTGTCACTGTGTGTGTCACTATCACTGTGGGTGTGTCACTGTGTGTCACTATCACTGTGTGTGTGTCACTGTCATTGTGTGTCACTGTGTCACTGTGTGTGTCACTGTGTGTGTCACTATCACTGTGTGCGTCACTGTGTCACGGTGTGTGTCACTGTGTGTCACTATCACTGTGTGTGTGTCACTGTGTCACCGTGTGTGTCACTGTGTCACCGTGTGTGTCACTGTGTCACGGTGTGTGTCACTATCACTGTGTGTGTGTCACTGTGTGTCACTATCACTGTGTGTGTGTCACTGTGTCACGGTGTGTGTCACTATCACTGTGTGTGTGTCACTGTCATTGTGTGTGTCACTGTGTCACTGTGTGTGTCACTGTCACTGTGTGTGTGTCACTGTCACCGTGTGTGTCACTATCACTGTGTGTGTGTGTGTGTCATTGTCATTGTGTGTGTGTCACTGTGTCACCGTGTGTGTCACTATCACTGTGTGTGTGTCACTGTGTGTCACTATCACTGTGTGTGTGTCACTGTGTCACCGTGTGTGTCACTATCACTGTGTGTGTGTCACTGTGTGTCACTATCACTGTGTGTGTATCACTGTGTCACCATGTGTGTCACTATCACTGTGTGTGTGTCATTGTCATTGTGTGTGTCACTGTGTCACTGTGTGTGTCACTATCACTGTGTGTGTGTGTGTCGCTGTGTGTCACTATCATTGTGGGTGTGTCACTATCACTGTGTGTCACTATCACTGTGTGTATGTGTGTGTGTCACTGTGTGTGTGTGTCACTGTCTCACCGTGTGTGTCACTGTCTCACCGTGTGTGTCACTATCACTGTGTGTGTGTGTCACTGTGTGTGTGTGTCACTGTGTGTGTGTGTGTGTCACTGTGTGTGTCACTGTCATTGTGTGTGTGACTGTGTCACCGTGTGTCACTATCACTGTGTGTGTGTGTCACTGTGTGTGTCACTGGCATTGTTTGTGTGACTGTGTCACCGTGTGTCACTATCACTGTGTGTGTGTGTCGCTATGTGTGTCACTATCACTGTGTGTGTCACTGTGTCGCTGTGTCACGTGCAGCTACGTGGGTGACTGTGTCACCGTGTGTCACTATTACTGTGTGTGTGTGTGTCGCTGTGTGTCACTATCACTGTGTGTGTCGCTGTGTCATGTGCAGCTACGTGGGTGACTGTGTCACCGTGTGTCACTATCACTGTGTGTGTCACTGTGTCGCTGTGTCACGTGCAGCTACGTGGGTGACTGTGTCACCGTGTGTCACTATCACTGTGTGTGTGTGTCGCTGTGTGTGTGTCACTATTACTGTGTGTGTCACTGTGTCACGTGCAGCTACGTGGGTGACTGTGTCACCGTGTGTCACTATCACTGTGTGTGTCGCTGTGTGTGTGTCACTTTCACTGTGTGTGTCACTGTGTCACGTGCAGCTACGTGGGTGACTGTGTCACTGTGTCACTGTGTCACCGTGTGTCACTATCACTGTGTGTGTGTGTGTGTCGCTGTGTGTCACTATCACTGTGTGTGTGTGTGTCGCTGTGTGTCACTATCACTGTGTGTGTCACTGTGTCGCTGTGTCACGTGCAGCTACGTGGGTGACTGTGTCGCTGTGTGTCACTATCACTGTGTGTGTGTGTGTGTCGCTGTGTGTCACTATGTGTGTGTGTGTCACTGTGTGTGTCACTATCACTGTGTGTGTCGCTGTGTGTGTGTCACTATCACTGTGTGTGTGTGTGTCACTGTGTCGCTGTGTGTCACTGTGTGTGTGTGTGTCACTGTGTGTATCACTATCACTGTGTGTGTCACTGTGTCACGTGCAGCTACGTGGGTGATTGTGTCACTGTGTGTGTCACTGTGTCGCTGGGTCACGTGCAGCTACGTGGGTGACTGTGTCACTGTGTCACGTGCGGCTACGTGGGTGACTGTGTCACTGTGTGTGTCACTATCACTGTGTGTGTCACTGTGTCACGTGCAGCTACGTGGGTGACATGCTCGCTTGGCTGCACCAGGCGAGTGCCTCCGAGCGTGAGCACCTGGACGCTCTGCTCAAGGACGTCTCCACGCTGGGTCAGATCACCCACATACCTACACACGTACCAGATCACCCACATACCTACACACGTACCAGCTCACCCACATACCTACACACATACCAGCACACCCACATACCTACACACGTACCAGCTCACCCACATACCTACACACGTACCAGCTCGCCCACATACCTACACACGTACCAGCTCACCCACATACCTACACACGTACCAGCTCGCCCACATACCTACACACGTACCAGATCACCCACATACCTACACACGTACCAGCTCACCCACATACCTACACACGTACCAGCACACCCACATACCTACACACGTACCAGCTCACCCACATACCTACACACGTACCAGCACACCCACATACCTACACACGTACCAGCACACCCACATACCTACACACGTACCAGCTCACCCACATACCTACACACGTACCAGCTCACCCACATACCTACACACGTACCAGCTCACCCACATACCTACACACGTACCAGCTCACCCACATACCTACACACATAGCAGCTCACCCAGATGCCTACACACGTACCAGCTCACCCACATACCTACACACGTACCAGCTCACCCACATACCTACACACGTACCAGCTCACCCACATACCTACACACGTACCAGCACACCCACATACCTACACACGTACCAGCTCACCCACATACCTACACACGTACCAGCTCACCCACATACCTACACACGTACCAGCACACCCACATACCTACACACGTACCAGCTCACCCACATACCTACACACGTACCAGCTCACCCACATACCTACACACGTACCAGCTCACCCACATACCTACACACGTACCAGCACACCCACATACCTACACACGTACCAGCTCACCCACATACCTACACACGTACCAGCTCACCCACATACCTACACACGTACCAGCACACCCACATACCTACACACGTACCAGCTCACCCACATACCTACACACGTACCAGCTCACCCACATACCTACACACGTACCAGCACACCCACATACCTACACACGTACCAGCTCACCCACATACCTACACACGTACCAGCTCACCCACATACCTACACACGTACCAGATCACCCACATACCTACACACGTACCAGCACACCCACATACCTACACACGTACCAGCACACCCACATACCTACACACGTACCAGCTCACCCACATACCTACACACGTACCAGCTCACCCACATACCTACACACGTACCAGATCAGCCACATACCTACACACATACCAGCTCACCCACATACCTACACACGTACCAGCTCACCCACATACCTACACACGTACCAGCACACCCACATACCTACACACGTACCAGCACACCCACATAACTACACACGTACCAGCACACCCACATACCTACACACGTACCAGCACACCCACATACCTACACATGTACCAGCTCACCCACATACCTACACACGTACCAGCTCACCCACATACCTACACACGTACCAGATCACCCACATACCTACACACGTACCAGCACACCCACATACCTACACACGTACCAGCTCACCCACATACCTACACACGTACCAGCACACCCACATACCTACACACGTACCAGCTCACCCACATACCTACACACGTACCAGCTCACCCACATACCTACACACGTACCAGCACACCCACATACCTACACACGTACCAGATCAGCCACATACCTACACACGTACCAGATCAGCCACATACCTACACACGTACCAGCACACCCACATACCTACACACGTACCAGCACACCCACATACCTACACACGTACCAGCTCGCCCACATACCTACACACGTACCAGCACACCCACATACCTACACACGTACCAGATCACCCACATACCTACACACGTACCAGCTCACCCAGATACCTACACACGTACCAGCTCACCCACATACCTACACACGTACCAGCACACCCACATACCTACACACGTACCAGATCACCCACATACCTACACACGTACCAGCTCACCCACATACCTACACACGTACCAGCACACCCACATACCTACACACGTACCAGATCACCCACATACCTACACACGTACCAGCACACCCACATACCTACACACGTACCAGCACACCCACATACCTACACACGTACCAGCTCACCCACATACCTACACACGTACCAGCTCACCCACATACCTACACACGTACCAGATCAGCCACATACCTACACACGTACCAGCTCACCCACATACCTACACACGTACCAGCTCACCCACATACCTACACACGTACCAGCACACCCACATACCTACACACGTACCAGCACACCCACATACCTACACACGTACCAGCACACCCACATACCTACACACGTACCAGCTCACCCACATACCTACACACGTACCAGCTCACCCACATACCTACACACGTACCAGCTCACCCACATACCTACACACGTACCAGCTCACCCACATACCTACACACGTACCAGCACACCCACATACCTACACACGTACCAGCACACCCACATACCTACACACGTACCAGCTCACCCACATACCTACACACGTACCAGCTAACCCACATACCTACACACGTACCAGATCACCCACATACCTACACACGTACCAGCTCACCCACATACCTACACACGTACCAGCATCACCCACATACCTACACACGTACCAGCTCACCCACATACCTACACACGTACCAGCACACCCACATACCTACACACGTACCAGATCACCCACATACCTACACACGTACCAGCTCACCCACATACCTACACACGTACCAGCTCACCCACATACCTACACACGTACCAGCACACCCACATACCTACACACGTACCAGATCACCCACATACCTACACACGTACCAGCTCACCCACATACCTACACACGTACCAGCACACCCACATACCTACACACGTACCAGCTCACCCACATACCTACACACGTACCAGCTTACCCACATACCTACACACTTACCAGCTCACCCACATACCTACACACGTACCAGCTCGCCCACATACCTACACACGTACCAGCACACCCACATACCTACACACGTACCAGATCACCCACATACCTACACACGTACCAGCTCACCCAGATACCTACACACGTACCAGCTCACCCACATACCTACACACGTACCAGCACACCCACATACCTACACACGTACCAGATCACCCACATACCTACACACGTACCAGCTCACCCACATACCTACACACGTACCAGCACACCCACATACCTACACACGTACCAGCTCACCCACATACCTACACACGTACCAGCTTACCCACATACCTACACACGTACCAGCTCACCCACATACCTACACACGTACCAGCTCACCCACATACCTACACACGTACCAGCACACCCACATACCTACACACGTACCAGATCAGCCACATACCTACACACGTACCAGCTCACCCACATACCTACACACGTACCAGCTCACCCACATACCTACACACGTACCAGCTCACCCACATACCTACACACGTACCAGCACACCCACATACCTACACACGTACCAGATCAGCCACATACCTACACACGTACCAGATCACCCACATACCTACACACGTACCAGCACACCCACATACCTACACACGTACCAGCTCACCCACATACCTACACACGTACCAGCTCACCCACATACCTACACACGTACCAGCACACCCACATACCTACACACGTACCAGCTCACCCACATACCTACACACGTACCAGCTCACCCACATACCTACACACGTACCAGCTCACCCACATACCTACACACGTACCAGCTCACCCACATACCTACACACATAGCAGCTCACCCACATACCTACACACGTACCAGATCACCCACATACCTACACACGTACCAGCACACCCACATACCTACACACGTACCAGCACACCCACATACCTACACACGTACCAGCTCACCCACATACCTACACATGTACCAGCTCACCCACATACCTACACACGTACCAGATCAGCCACATACCTACACACGTACCAGCTCACCCACATACCTACACACGTACCAGCTCACCCACATACCTACACACGTACCAGCACACCCACATACCTACACACGTACCAGCACACCCACATACCTACACACGTACCAGCACACCCACATACCTACACACGTACCAGCTCACCCACATACCTACACACGTACCAGCTCACCCACATACCTACACACGTACCAGACACCACCCACATACCTACACACGTACCAGCATCACCCACATACCTACACACGTACCAGCTCACCCACATACCTACACACGTACCAGCACACCCACATACCTACACACGTACCAGCTCACCCACATACCTACACACGTACCAGCTCACCCACATACCTACACACGTACCAGCACACCCACATACCTACACACGTACCAGATCAGCCACATACCTACACACGTACCAGCTCACCCACATACCTACACACGTACCAGCTCACCCACATACCTACACACGTACCAGCTCACCCACATACCTACCCACGTACCAGCACACCCACATACCTACACACGTACCAGATCAGCACAGCCACATACCTACACACGTACCAGATCAGCCACATACCTACACACGTACCAGCACACCCACATACCTACACACGTACCAGCTCACCCACATACCTACACACGTACCAGCTCACCCACATACCTACACACGTACCAGCTCAACCACATACCTACACACGTACCAGCTCACCCACATACCTACACACGTACCAGCTCACCCACATACCTACACACGTACCAGCTCACCCACATACCTACACACGTACCAGCTCACCCACATACCTACACACGTACCAGCTCACCCACATACCTACACACGTACCAGCTCACCAACATACCTACACACGTACCAGCATCACCCACATACCTACACACGTACCAGCACACCCACATACCTACACACGTACCAGCTCACCCACATACCTACACACTTACCAGCTCACCCACATACCTACACACGTACCAGCTCAGCCCACATACCTACACACGTACCAG